ATCGCGGGCACATGGATCGCCCACGTGGCCTCCTGCATGGCACCACGTCAACGTCTACTGCCACACGACGCATTCTATTTCGTCAGGACTGCTGATCGGACATCCTACGTGGTAAAACTTTTTTAAATTACATTCTGACTCTCGATTTCCAATTTTTTCTTTCAAAAACACCCCCAAAGTCCAAATTTTCACCCATTTTTCTCAAAATTGTTTTCAATTTCACCCCCCATCAAATTTACTTCATTTTTGCATTAAATAAAATTAAAAAAATCAAAAAATTTATATTTATAATTAATTTAATTTACAAGTAAATTAATTTGGGCATTACATAACTCCTCAAACAACTTTATTTGTTCTCTTAATAATACTTCAACTATTCAAGAAGAAAACCATATTTGATCCTTCTTGCCCTTGCACCTTGTTCATACTAAGAGCCCAAAAATCTCTTGATCTCTAACTCATGAAGGGTCTCTTGGACCATCTCGCTCTCTCCCTATCAATGGGACTGCAATCCAAACCCTAAACAAATGACTAATTGATGATCTCATCCTCAACTACTTCTCAATAGTCAATGATCATATACAACCAATCACCTCCTAGTCTCTCTCAAGTCTTCGATTCTCATGCTCAAAGCTCCGGAATACAAGTCTCTACTCCTGGCATTAACCACCATATGAAAGAGGCCAGTACTGGCATCTGTTTTCGCAACCAAACTCATCTCGGTTTATACTTACCGCTAATTTCCTCTTTCACAAGAATCTCTTAGAAATCAATTTCAAGGAACTAATTGAACATCATCAATACATTATCCAATGCCATCTTATCGAGAACATAAACCCTAACCAAAATGTTGTTATTCTCACTCTAATGTCCACCAAAAACCTTTTTGTTCCACATTTGCAATTTACTCTCAAGAATTGCAACTTTTTCATAAACTTAAACCCCTCCCAACCAATAGGAACACTATGCCCATCAAGTCTAACACTCACTAAGGTCAGTATGGACAGCCATAAATTCTCAAAGAATCTCTATGTTCCATGTTATATCCCCCTCTTCTGAGGGATAAGTTAGAAAGCAAATTACTATGAATAAAATTAATCATGAATCCTACATCTTAAATCTAGATAGAAAAACTTTTGTAGTTTATTTCATACCTGTCTTCTTAAATTTGGGAATTTATCCATCTTTTACAAAGGTGTTCAATGAAACCAAATGAAAATAAATTTTCATGTTTGCTTGTGGATTAGAGACACTCAAAATGATTAATCAACATCTACTATAACCTCTAGTCTTCTAGGATAACAAATTACCAAAAACAAAAAAAGGAAAGGACTTCTTGCAATAGATTAGGAAACCTGTCCTCCCAACGATTAGAGACAAGGAACCAGTCAATATAGGAGGAGGCAATTCTACCCCAATTTACTTACCAGATAAATTGAGCACTAGAGAGGAGAAAATCTCTTAATTTCACAGTCCAAACTCCTAACCCACAAAAAATCATTTTTTTAATTAATAAAAATTCTTAAAGATATCTGCCCAGATTTTCTCTCTTATGAGGCCCGCATCCGCACCATGATATTAGCCACTTTCTTTTTTCTGCTTTTTTATTTGTTATTATTGGGACATAAGATATACACATGTAGACAACCACAGCACTCAAACAAAAATATCTTCTAAAACACCAAGAAGATCAAACAAAAGCAAACAGAGATTGAATATTCCCAAATTAAAAAAAATAATAAGAACAACAAAATTAAAGCATTTATTAAACCTTCAAGAGAAAAGAAGTTGTTTCCAGTATAAGATTTTGGCCAAAATGGATTGAAGGGCAGAGGAGAAGTCTCAAAAGTAAAAAGAGAATGCGACCAATTGTAAGAAAATTACAGGCGATTGTATTAATTTAGGTTGAACAAGAACAAAAAGGAAGCACAAGTAAAGTCACCTAAAAAGAAATTGTAAATCAAGATCTCAAATCCCAGATATTCAAATGAACCACTTGCAGAAATCAAGCACTTCAAAGTTTCCATAAAGTTTATTAGACTTGAAAAAGAAATCCCAAATGGATATCTCTGGGACTGTCTCCCTGTAATAAGCTCCCAGGTGGGAGAACCCACATAGATGCAATTATATTCATTCTATGCAACTTTCCACGCATAGAATAGCAAGCAAATATAGTAAAGACCTATTTTTTCAGCATTGCCTAAAACTCGTCAAACTAGAAACTTCAGCTAGTTTACGAAGCAGGCATCTCCAAATATATTATGGTGAATTGTTAGTTATTCACTGAGAAGCTTACCTGAAGACAGGCAGATTCAGCTCTGAGGAATTGATAATCTGACCATGCTCTGAGGTACCAATCAAATGATCATAGCCACCCTGTGATCAAATATGACATTAGTTGGTCTTTGTGAAAGGTCAATAGAAGAAGTGCACTCATCAATTACCAAACCCGCATCAATTAGAATTACTTTGTAGGGGCAATCTTTGAATACTGAACTGATATTAGAAGCATATCGCACTTTGTACCCCCAATACATCCCTGCTTCTTCCCTAGGTTTGGAGGATGAGGCAACCTGCCGTGGCAAATCTAGATAAATGCAATGTAAATTTAAAACATTATAAGTTGAATACTCTTCTGTTATCTCACAAATGAAGATGGCATTCAGCATTCTTATCAGATTGTGGTTAATCATGGAATTCAACTAAATCGTGGTTAATCATGGAATTCAACTAAAAGTTAAATGTCACACAACATAACTGCGCATACATGCAAAAATCTAAAGGAATATGAAAGTGCAATAGCATGACTCCACCAACAAAAATTGACGAGGACCCACATAGCATAGCATACCAGCATGAATAACATTTGAACAGTTCAAAACTGCAGGAAAAGGAAGGATAGTTAATTACCAGCATCCAGATTACGGTTGGCACTCATAGCGACAGTTACTCTTATTCCAGGTTCAAGTGTTTGTTCAACAACAACATTCTGTGTCATTATGAACATTAGAAAAACAAACTTTACAGAGACTTGCTTCTCATCAAAAGTTGAAAATGACAAATAAAAGTACAATTTTGTGATAAAGAATCAAAACAAAATATAAGAAAGATAGCTAGATCAGAGCCTCCAAGGCCTAGCAGTCAATACCTGGCCTCACCATAAGGGGTCAGCCAGGATTAAAAGCTTTGCTTAGCAAAGAACAAAAAGCTTTTACATAGCAAACATAATAGTGACAAGTACAACTCTAGGCATCCTTGTCCATTGAACAAACACAAAAGTTATAATACTTGAACTCTATCAATAAATATCACAATGCAAGAACTCAACAATAAATAAGGCCTTGTAAACAACCATGGCATGTTTGGTTCACTATTTAAAGCAGAGATGTGTCGAGAATATAATAAATATTATGTAGTATAAGACTTGTTATTGATTTATTGGCCAAATCAGGTTTACTTTGCAATTCTTACTACTGAAGATCTTTATAATGCTTGCGCAAGTAAAACCTGGAGGCCACTTAAATGCCAATGGCGCCCCATAGATGAAAACTAGGAATAATACATGAAACAGATATATAAAATCTTCTAGAGAGCATAATAAAGGTTCCTGACTGCAGATATAGACAAGATCATGAGGCTACAGAACTAGATGTGCAAGATTAAACAAGCTGACCAATAGTTACTAGGCCAAATCACATGATTGAATAAAACCACATAAAGGAAAAGTTTTACCGGTGCTTTTAAGACAATAACAATAAATCCATGATAAAATAACAGCCCCTTAGCAGTAACTATGTACCACTAACAATCAGTATCTTCAAGTCTATACTTTCTATGCCATGCTAGAACAGTGGAAGAAGCTAATGAAGTACTTTTAAAAGACGAAAAGAGAGTCTCAACTAGATTTAGAAGATTGAGACCATACCTTACTTAAACCCACATCAACCATGGTTCTCATCGAGTTTGGGGCCTTTTCTTTTAGAGTGACACCTATAAATAATGACAACAAGATAAGTTTATATGTATATACATATACTTTCAAAAATACACAAATATGTTATAACACATTGGCAGCCAATCGATTCAGACCCAAAAGACTCCTGTTAGATGTTGGATAGATGACTATCACACAAAGAGGCCCAGGTCATTTCAAGACATTAAGAAAAGTTGAACTAAATATTCCTCTTTGATTAAGCTAAATTTCATTGACCATGACCCAATTCAATTCAAACACTAGACTTGCCATCTCAATCAATCCTTTCTTCAAAACAATCTTAGTGTAGGCTCTGTTTGGAATAAAGGATGTTTATTTTCATCTGAAAGCTTACACTTAGTTTAGTTCAATTTTAAGAGCTGATAATCCCTTTAAAGTTGGTGAAACTGATTTTCATTTTGATGAAATTAGGAATATATTAGTTCAATTCCACTTAGAATTCTCTTTCAGTAGAATTTTCCATTCTCTACTAGTCATACTAAATGTAGATTTCCAAATGAATTCCACCAATATTTGTCCATTTTTTTGAAACATTAACTTAGTGTGTTGTGAACATGAATATGTAATATTGCAGGTTATCTAAAACATCACCTTCTAGTACCACTGATTCAGCTAAGTGCTCATCTAAAAATATGCAAAACTATAAACTGAAGGTACAAGAAATTATAATTGAATGTAGATCATTATAATGCATTCTACCTTCTCGGTAGGCAGCCCACTCATGCTTTCGCAAATGGTGTGGAGCATCAAGTGGGGGCAACATGCCCTGCAAAGTCCCCAGCCAAGACATCCAATTTACCACCCAAAAGAAAAAGTATTAGCTAATGAGGAAAAACCAAAAACAAAAAAAACAAAAATAATTGAACATTTAGAACACACCACAAATCTTAAGTTATTATGCTTTGGGAAGAGAGCTTTTCTTAAATATTGTGGTGTCTCGAGATACTGCAAGATCCTTATAAGAAAAGCTGCACCACTTTCATTTTCATCTGAAGAAACCAATGTTGTAACGCCAGAATCATTTTCTGAGCTATTCTTATTATCAAATACAACCACCTGCCATTTCAAAAAAAGAAAATTATGAAAAATTCTCAGCAAGCAAGCCAATCATATATTTCCAAACCTAACAACCCAAAATCTATATTCCCATCCACAAACAATATTGACAATTACTTCCAGAAATAAAAAAGCAAGATTAATTAAAAAAAAAAAAACAATACTGATTACAAACACAAAGCAGCTTCCATTATTCCTGAGCTCTTTTGCAGTAACGAACAGTATTTTGCTCATTGTACAATAACTAAACCTTATTACTACTAAGAAAAGGAAAAACAGACCTAATGAACTAAGTATAGGTAGAGACCTCGTCAATACGAAAAATAGTGGCGGCGCGAGCAACCTGACCAGCCAACTGAAAATAGGACAAAAGTTAAAAGAACAATATTAGGAATTTAGTGCCTAAGCAAATCGTGCGAGACCAATAAGATAAAGGAAGTTTTGGTTTCACTAATAATAAATTTCTCAGCAACCAAACAGAAGCGAGGGAGAGAAGCTGTACTCGAGTAGCAAGTTCGAGCGATTGAGTATTGTCGATGATGGAACCAGGTAAGGCTATGCTAACGGTAGGACTCTCATAGCCAACTTCGTCCGTGCCCGTTTTATCTCTCTTATGTTTCTTCTTGTTTTTCTTCTTATTAGGCTCGCCGCTAACGAGATCGACATTATTGTCAAGATCGTGTTTTTCCCTTTCTTTCAAATTTCTGCCTTCTTCCAATTTTTCCCCTGCTTCTAGTTCAGCTCTCTTCTTCTTCTTCGCCATTCCTGAGCAGTAGTTACTTTACTCTGTCCGCAGTCTAACTCTGTGGTAGCCAGAAGCGCGAGGAGCGAACCTAGGATGGTTATGCAAGAGTGCAGCAGCACAGAGGCATCGGCGAATTTTAAGTGTAGAGAAGAGTTTTGTTAAGAGAAGCATACGTCTGAGTTAGTACGCGCAGTCAAGGGGCCTAAATAATTGTGGTTTCAATAATATTAAATTTTGTTTAAATTAATTTTTCTCTTAATTTTTTATCAAATTGATTCTCGATATTAAGTTAAGTATCACGTGTCAAACTTATCGATACGGAACACTTTATCATTGATCCAAAAAAATAATATTATATTAAATATCACATAACATTGAACATAATATTAAAAAAAATTAAATATTAATTGGTTTAAATCATACATAATTTAAAAAAAAACTATTAACTCGTAAAAAAAAAACCACATCCTAAAATTTCCACAATCATCTTCTCTCATCTTTGATTCCTCTTCGAGTAGGTGACTCAGCACTACTAGGAGAAGAGAGTGGTGGTCGTAAGCTCCTTCACCACTGGGAGTGGGACAACATCAATGCAATGACCCTAGAGTGTGACCCGACCCCACTAAGACTCCATGTAAATTTTACACTCTCTTAACTTAGTTATACTCTCTTCTTCTAGGTTGAATTGTTCTTTGTAATTTTTCTGTAAAAACAAATTTATATATATGTTATTCCACATATTTCATTTTTATTTTTTAAATTATATTGCATTCTTTTGTAATTCTATACTTGGATATACTGATATATTTGAAATGAATTCAACTAGAAGTTGATATTTCTACCTATTAAAGTGATGTAAAATTATTCACTTGGTTAAAAAAATATGTGTATAGTAGATTTAATTTCGTATTCCATATATTTTTGTTATAAATTTTGTAATTAATACAATACTAATAGGTGTAACATGGACAAGCAATGCATAACTTAGTGAGGAGAAAACAGGAGTGAACCAACAAAGTGGGAGTGAGGAGAAAATAGGAGCAAGCAAAAGCTTAACATCATTGTGTGAAGAAATAGCTCAACACAACAAAGTTCCCAACTTTTCTTACTATGTTGAATGAGAAGGGACCAAAAGGCAATGAGGAGAAAAGGGAGAAGCAAATGTTATCACGGACCATACCTTATCTTATAGGGTAATGATCGGAGCATACTTACTTAAATCATATAGATTCGAGTTAAATAAAATAATTTAATTTTATTAATCATAACAGAATCGCAGAAACGTTTCATTCTTTAAATGTAAAACATAACCATATGTACAAGACTCTAAATTTCATTACTTACATTATTAAATAAAATTACGAAATAGTAACTTTAATTTCAGAGTCTAGCTTCAAAAAAATTTTTTGTATCACCATTCACTCTGTAACAATATCTTCAGTATCTAGAGAATTCTAGAGGGGTAAGATAAAATATCTCAATAAGCGATATTATGATATCACATCATGGTACATGTAATATATAGTTTCTTTACACACAACAAAATATACATATCATATAATCTTTTCAAAACAGATACAAATTAGAAGACGATTGTACAAATCAGAAAATAGACTCACAATTATTTCGTTATATACTTTATCACTATTATGAAGGATAAATCAGTTATCATACATTATGCATGGGCACATATATTTATTACTGTTTTTTCATGTACCCGAATACAGAACGGTATACATGAGTATCTTGAAACACTGCTACTCCCAAAACACAGAATGGTTAAAGCACGCAAATTAGACAATTTTTCCATACACCCAAACGCAGAACGGTTATATATGAGTACACACTTATCATTTCACTAATATACCCGAACATGAAATGGTATGTATGGCCATATTGAAATCGAGCATAATGCAGATGCTTCCAGAATAACTCTTTTCCATAATAAGTGATACACACATATCAAAATCACATTTCCAAAATACAAAGTGAAATAACACTTTTATCGAAATAAAACTTTAACAAATATTTACTTAGCAAACACAAACGACAAATTAAATATTTGCACATTTTTATATTGAAAATACATAAAATATTTCAAAACTACATAGGTTATGAATCTATAATATCCACTTACCTTAGGTCTTTAACAGTCGTAATCTTAATCCCGGCAGAGTTATAGTTTTATTTATGATATTTTTCTCTCAAAATTAAGGTAGAGTTTCGGGATGATTTTTGATCACTTTCTTGACTCAAAAATATCAAACATAATACTTAAAAACTAATT